AAATAATTCTAAAATTTGTATGGAAATACAAAAGACCCAGAATAACCAAAATAACTTTGAGAAAAAAGAACAAAGCTGGAGGTATCAGGCTCCCTGATTTTAAACCATACTACAAAGCTACAGTAATTCAAAACAGTATGGTACTGGCAGAAAACAGACACAAAGGTCAATGGAACAGAATAAAGAGCCCAGAATTAAGCCCACAGTCATATGGTCTATTAATCTACAAAAAAGAAGAATGAAAATACAATGTGGAAAAGATAAATGGTGTTGGTTAACTGGACAGAAGAATCAAATTGGACTAATTTTTCACACCATATGAAAAGTAAAATCAAAATGGATTAAAGACTTAAATATAAGACTTGAAATTGTAAAACTTTTAGAAGAAGACTTAGCTAATATGCTTTTTGTCATTGGTTTTAGCAATATGTTTTTGGACATGTGTCCTTAGGCAAGGGAAACAAAAGCAAAAATGAACAAATGGGACTACATCAAACTAAAAAGTTCTGCACAACAAAGGAAACTATCAACAAAATAAAAAAGCTCTCTACTGAATGGGAGAAGATATTTGCAAACCATTTATCCAAAAAGGGTTAATATCCAAAATATACAAAGAACACTTACAACTCAACATCAACAAAACACAAACACAATTTAAAATCTGGGAGAGGACCTAGGTAGACATTTTTAAAGAAGACATACATATGGCCACCAGGCAAAGGAAAAGATGCTAATCATCAGGGAAATGCAAATAAAAATCACAGTGAGATATCACCTCACACCTGTCAGAATGGCTATTATCTAAATATCAACAAATAACAAGTGCTTCCAAGAATGTGGAGAAAATGGAACCCTAAATCACTGTTGGAGGGAATGTAAATTGGTGCAGCCATTATGGAAAACAGTATGGAAATTCCTCAAAAAATTAAAAATAGAACTATCAAATGATCCAGAAATTCCACTCCTGGATGTTTATCTGAAGAAAACAAAAACACTAATAAGAAAAGATTCATGCACCTCTATGTTCACTGCAGTTTTATTACAATAGCCAAAATATGAAAGCAACCTCAGTGCCCATCAATGAATGAATGGATAAAGAAGATATGGCATATGCATACAATGGAATATTACTCAGCCATAAAAAAGAATGAAATCTGCCATTTGGGACAACATGGATGGACCTAGAAGGTATCATGCTATATGAAATGTCAGAGAGATAAAGACAAATACTGTATGATTTCACTTTTATGTGGAAGCTAAAAAGCAAAACAAATGACTGAATATAACAAAACAAAACCAGCATTATGTATACTGTGAACAAACAGGTGGTTGCCAGAGAGGAGTTTGTTGGGGGGAGGAGAAATACTTGAAGGAGATTAAGATGCACAAACTTCTAGTTACAGAATAAATGAGTTATGATTATGAAATGTACAGTGTGGGTGGGCAATATTGTCAATAATTATGTAATATCTTTGTATGATGACATATGGTAACTATACTTATCATGGTGATTATTTTGAAATGTATAGCAATATCAAATCACTACTGGGTATGACAGGAGCTAACATAGTGTTGTAGGTCAAATATACCTCAAAAGTGAACAAACACAGTAAAAGAGATCAGATTTGTGGTTTTACCAGAGAGGAGTGGGGGAAGCAGGAATTAGATGGATGTAGTCAAAAGGTACAAACTAACAGTTATAAAGTAAATAAGTACTGGGAATGTAATGTACAACATGAAAAATGTAATTAGCACTGCCGTATGTTATATATGAAAGTTGTTAGGAGAGTAAACCCTAAGAGTTCTCATCACAAGAAAAAAAAATTTTTCTGTTTCTTTAACTTTGTATTTATATGAGATGTTCACTAAACTTATTGTGGTAATTATTTCATGGTGTAAGTCCAACCACTATACTGTTCACCTTAAACTTATACAGTGCTGTATGTCAATTATATGTCAATAACACTGGAAGAAATAAAAACTATCTTAGTGTAGCTTTATTATTTATTGTAGTGCTAAGTTTGATTAGGAGTTAACAGGTCTGGACTCTACTTTCAGTGCCAACACTGTCTTACTGCTCCCACTAGCAAAGCACTCTATCTTACTCTGGACTCAATTTTACCCTCCATAAATTTGTCAGAGAAGAGCATGTTTAGACTTTGCATGGAGTTACATTATGTGGATAAATGAGATAAGTTAATTGAAAGAATTTTGAAATGTTAGAATGAGACTCATTTACCTATATCCCAAGTTAATATAATCACTGTGTAATATTTTTAAAGGAATGGTCAACTGGAAGTTTTTAAAAAGGAAAAACCACAATGAGATATCACCTCTCACCTGTCATAATGGCTATTATCCAAATGTCAACAAATAACAAGTGCTTGCAAGAATGTGGAGAAGGGCTTCCCTGGTGGTGCAGTGGTTGAGAGTCCGCCTGCCGATGCAAGGGACACGGGTTCGTACCCCAGTCCGGGAAGATCCCACATGCCGCAGAGCAGCTGGGCCCGTGAGCCATGGCCGCTGAGCCTGCGCGTCCAGAGCCTGTGCTCCACAATGGGAGAAGTCACAGCAGTGAGAGGCCCGCATACTGAAAAAAAAACAAAACAAAACAAACAAAAAAAAAGAATGTGGAGAAAACGGAACCCTCAGTCACTGTTGGTGGGAATGTAAATTGGTACAACCACTGTGGAGAACAGTATGGAGGTTCCTTAAACCACTAAAAATAGAACTACCATATAATCCAGCAGTCCCACTCCTGGGCATATATCTGGAGAAAACCTTAGTTCAAAAAGATACATGCACCCCAATGTTCATTGAAGCACTATTTACAATAGTCAAGACATGGAAGCAACCTAATGTCCATCAATAGAGGAATGGATAAAGAAGATGTGGTACATATATAAAATAGAATATCCATTTAAAAAGAATGAAATAATGCCATTTGCAGCAACATGGATGGACCTAGAGATTATCATACTAAGTGAAGTCAGTCAGAGAAAGAAACATCATATGATATCACTTATATGTGGACTCTAAAAATATGATACAAATGAACTTATCTACAAAAGAGAAACAGACTCACAGACTTCTAAAACAAACTTCTGGTTACCAAAGGAGAAAGATGGGGCACGGGGATAAATTAGGAGTTTGAGATTAACATATATACACTACTATACATAAAATAGATAATCAGCGAGGACCTACTATATAGCACAAGGAACTACTCAATATTCTATAATAACCAGTATGGGGAAAAGAATCTGAAAAAGAATGGATATATGTATATGTACAACTGAACTACTTTGCTGTACACCTGAAACTAACACAACATTGTAAATCAACTATACCCCAATATAAAATAAAAATTAAATTAAATAAATAAACTGAGCAAGTAAGAATAAAATCTTTTTAAAATCTTTTACAATGCAAAATACTACAACAGTCATTCATAAGGGTAAATATAGATTGCTCACATTATAAGAATTCTTAGTACTACCAACTGTTATTTTCAGATAATATTTTTATCCATTAAGAACTTTTGACAAGGAATGATTCTTTTTTTCTCTTTAGTGTAAAGATGATTATCATTGCTTGTGCAATGATCTTACATTTTTCAAACATTGTTTATTCTCCTTCCACTCACTGACTTTTTGACTTTGCCTTTTCTCTGTCATAATGGTTCCTTTCACCCCCAACCCATCTCTTATCCTGAATAACTTGGACTTGCTATTAACATTTACCTGTCTTAGAAAAATGAATTGTTTTTAGGGAAAAAGTGATAAGTTTGGCTCCACTGTGCCTTCCAAATAAAGTCTAAACGTTTAGTTTTGGACTTCAAAACTTTGTCTTAACCTACTGCTTCAGCCTTAACTCTCACTCTTACCTCATTCTATAATGGTATCCAATAGTTGGAAACATGTTGATCCTGATCATAATTTTCTTGTATCTAAACCTTTGATTATATTGTTCTCCATATTCACTTGTTGAAATTCTGCCCATCTTTAAGTACCATCTCATCCATGAAGGTTTAGCGGTCATCCCACTGTAAACTTTTTCCCTCTCTGGACTTCAACACCTTTTTGGATTCACCTTTCTTATGGCATCTAGCCTATTGTTTTATATTACTTTTATATTACTGTGGCTTTTGTTTGCTTATTCCGTTTTTATTTTCTTTTTCTTTTATTCTCTGTGTCTATCTCTTTTGAAAAAACTTTAAGCTTGTTGTGTTCTACTTATTATATTCACAACAGAATCTAGGAGATTTTTCTAGGGCAATAAGAAGCAGCCCATAAAAGTTGTTGAATTAAATTGAATTGCTGGACCACTTTTTTAGATACGGCTATCAAACTGAACATTTCATGGAACTGGACAAGCATAAATCTCCAGTATTAGTGTACTAGAAAATTGTCTTTAACTATGACTGGAAGTGAAGAGTCAAGCTGTTTGACAAATAAATGACAAACAAATACTTTCTAAATGTGAGTTTAGAAACTATGTATTGTTAGAAATCAGTAACCAGATATCACAGAAACATGGAATTATGACTGTTGTTCTACAAAGCTAAAAACGATTTATGTGTATGACACATAGGATTTAAATCTTATTGAGAGTCTACAAAACATTAAAGGAGTGCTCCAGAATTAGGCAGATTTTTAAAACAGAAAGAGTAAATCCTGCATGTTTGAATAAAAATTTGTTTTATGCAGTTCCTTTAGCCTTTTGTTTAGGAAAAAAAATCAACTTTGAACAAATATTTTCCAGTAGCACCAAGAACAACTTTGCTTTTTTTAAATTATTATTATAGCGTGAAGGTATTTTCTCCTGAGAAATAATATTTCCTAGTATTTGGAATGTAATGAAGGCCACATCTCTACAAAGAATGAAGGCATTTAATATGAGCTCAGTCATTGATAGGCTTCCTGAGTCTTTAAAATTTGTGTCCATTTTTTTCTCATCTCACCTGCCCATATGATTCACATTATATATTTTCTTCTTAGATTATTAAAACGAGAAGAAAGTTTCACATTCATTCCTCGGTCCCGTGAAGAGCTTCCAGACAACTTTCCAAAGGAAATCTCTGGGGTCTGCTATTTCCTGGAGGTAAGAACTGGTCCTAAGCAGCCAAAGCCTTCTCTTTCTTCATCGAGAATAAAAAAAGTTTCCTACAACATTGGCACAATGTTCCTCCGGGAGACAAGCCTCTGAGACCTGCTACAGATCAAAGACTCCTCCAAAAAGCACAAGCCCAGACCATGGATCATGACAGGAGAATGGAAAGATTGTTTATCTTTCACTGCTCTGTGGAGAAAAAACAGTGGAATTTCTGTTATGTCAGGCAATAATCCTAGCAAAAGGAGGGTGATGGCTCTCAATAAAAAACTGGAGGGCAAAGGGGAAATAAGATGTATTCATTCTTATGAGTGTTTTTGGTCATATATATATTATGTATAATATATATATGTATTTTAATTAATTACAAGTGTGAGACCCCTTTCAAAACTAACCAATAAATAGATTCCATGTTTTCTTGTTTGTCACACATACAGCTATCTTTCTCTATATATTTGTATCACTTTTGAGAACCAGTTTTGATTAAATATTCCTATATTTAGTGAGTGGGTATGAAAGGAATATTTTCTAATTTTGTTTTTCTGAACAGACATTTCATACATATATCATGGCAGTGTGGTAAACTTCCCAGCAGGAAAAACTGTAACTTGGCAAGATATTTTAGGGATATTACCTATTTTTATACATATCTCTTCTAGATAATTTCACACAGCATTATTAGATTTTCACAATCTGCTACTGTATAGTTGGTATATTATGTAATTCCAACATATTAATTGAATATAGTTTCACTTATTTAGAGAGATAAGTGCTTAGATTGAAAATACACATAACCTAGGATTTCAGATGCTGAGAAAGCATAGTATATCTGCTTAGTAAATATAGCTTTTAGATTTGATTAATGTAGCATAGAATCCAGAGGAAATGGCATTTCCTAATAGCAAATGTATGTATCTGTAACCAAGATTAAAGAAAGGTCTTTTTGCTATCTTCTAAGAAATATCAGTGAAAATAAAATGATTTGCTACATTACACCCTTTCAACTTAGCACTTCTAAATATAGGTAGTTTTTACAATGTGCTAAATTCTAATAAACAACATCCTACTAAATGACATGTAAGTCCACCCCCCTGCCCCTGTCACCTTCTTCAACGGATGCTTCCTAAGGACTAACTGCCCCTCATGGGAGCAAATCACTAGATACTGGCATTAGTGAGAAAAAGCTGTAGGATATTTTGCCTAGAACGTTGTTTATTCTTTCATAATAAAAACAAGGAAAAAAACTGTACTTTATGGATTTGAGATTGTTTTTAATGTTCTTCTGCAGTTTATTTGATGTGGCTTTTAAATTCAGTGAATCACCTTCATTAACACTGAAGTATGTCTAACCTTCAGACCTAGTAATCACCAAAGTTACAGATAGGCTTCCATTGCTTGTTCTGCTAAATGAAAACCTGTTCCCATTAAGTAACAGTGCATGAAAATATTATTACAGACTCACCCTGAAATTAGGAACACAGTGTGTCCAGGGTTTCTTATTTTGGATCAGATATAGAATCTAAGTTTCTCTTGAGGTTAATGAGTTGGAAACATTTGTTTCCTTGAAACCTTGTGGTGGCCATTTTCTTACTCCGATAGGTACACTCATTGGTAGCTTATGTCTACTGAATACAATATACTTTTTCTGGTTAGGGATTTTAGCTGCATTAGAATTTGGTTATGAAATAACTCAGTTAAGTAACAGATTAACTAGTGTCCAATGTAGTCTGTGAGGATTAATTAGTGTTTTTAAGTTCTCTAAGTATACAACTAGAAAATATTTTTAGATTGCAGATTATTTGTTATAATGGTGATCATTTTTATAATTGTTGAACTCTGTTCTCTCTCTGGGGCTTAAGAGGACACTAATGCAACACTTTGCATGTGGAAACAGGACCTAGACCTGAATCCTTGCCTGTCCCTCCCTTCCTTGGGTCTAGGTTTCTGTTTTTAACCACATGTGGGCAAGAAGGCCAGGGTGTTTGTAGGAGGCTGTGGAGGCTGAGGACAAGGTTCTCTCATGGGAATAATTACCCACAAAAGAATTTCTTTAGGGGGCTGAGAGATTAACTCACTTCTTTCACAGGGAATAGAGGGTAGGCTTACTGTCAGTGTGGAAAGAACAGGCTCTGGGAGCACTTCAATCCTCCTGCTGAGAATAGGAAATACCTCAGCTATGCTGGTGGGCTTCTTATAGCACAGGAGCATGGGGAGAGAACCAAACTCACTGAAGTCATGTATGCTTATTCTGCACAGTAAATTATGTGTTTTAATCATAAACAATGTGTTTTTTAACCATAAGCCTGAAAGGAACTTCCAGGAATCATCCAATCTAATTCTCTACTTTTTGTAAAGATTTGTCTAAGCAACTATTCTAAACATATGGTTATTCTCTCCATACTTAAAAATACCTGTGGGAAGCATATTTTAAAAACATCCTTGACAATCCACTTCATTATCTAGTACTTGGTGATAGGGTTTGGGATAAGAATTGTATATACATTCAATTTGTCAGAAAAATAAGCTGTTTCTTAGTTTATATGATTTTACTTGGAGAAGAGTAGCTATTTACATTGTCACAAATGTCACAATGAATATGCCAGAGATCTATTAAATATCACAAACAGGATGTAAACTACATTTTTCATAGAATATAATCTACATGTATCTTTGAAGGTATAGTCTGAGGCAATGGTCTGATCTATTACCATTTTGCCAACCTAGTACAGTTGACTTATTATAGCTACACTATTCCTACATGTATTTGCAAAATATGGTATAAAATGGCATTTCATTCTAGCTGCAGTCATAGAATTTAGAGGCTGTGAAAAAGCATTGCATTTTTATATGTCCTATAGAGTACAATACATGTATCCTCCATTAGGAATTTTGATTGTAATAATGGGTGGCTGTTGGTATTTCATTTGACTAATATCTATACAGTATTCTCATGTACAAACTATTAACATACATCATGCATTTTAGCATGGCAGATTAAATGGAATTTAAATGGATGTCCCTTTAGAAATCAAGCATTATTTAATTGAGGAAATGGCTCTAACCCACTCTAAAATGGATACTTTAAGATCCAATTTGGCACATATAGACCCTCTGATTCAGTATTCTTTCCAGCAACTGATTTGAAGAAGTTACTTTATGACTAGCCATCAGTACCAAAGCTTCATGTTGGCATCAGTATCATTTTGATGGAGAGAATGTCATTGTTTACAAATGAATGAGTTATATAACGAAGTCAGAAACCCCCATATGTACCCAAAATATACTGCACAGTATGTGCACCTTAATAAATAGGTAACAGCCATAATAAAAAGAATAATACTCAGTGCCTGAAGAACACATATAGTTGGGGCTCTTGGCTTTGTAGTGTTATGTAGAGAAGGGAAAGAAGAAACAGCTTCTAGTTAACAGTTTGGTCCAACTGTCTAAAATCTGCCTTGATATTCATCTCTTCTTTTATATTTCAAATAGTTTTGATTTCCCTTTTAATACTTCATTATGTGTGGAATCCAGTGAGCTGTGTATGACCTATTGTGACTCTGAGACAGGCACTGATGCCTGAGACTTGAGAGTGGGTTTGTGGATTCAGTGCTTCAAATATGAACTCTCGGGGTCTCACACTGTTCTTATCCAGTGACAATAGTAACAGGAACATAGTGTTTTATTGTGAAAGTGCAAAATTGTATGCCTCTCCAGGAAAAACAGAACAAAATAGGACAACAAATAAAGCAAAATCTCATTTACAAGCGCAGGAAGTCTTAATCTTGTGAATTCTTCCAAAGAGTTAAGCAATAAAGCAAAATTAAATTGATAGATACAAAAGGCAAAATCACAGAGAATTTGGAAAACTGCCAGGCTGTATTTTTCCTACAGAATCATATTGATACCAGTTGAAATGGTATATTTGAGGTTGTGAGGTATGAAGAGGGAGTTCAAGATTATCACCATTATTAAATATATTTTTTGAAGGCTCCTTGGGTTCCTGACTTGCTGAGGGCAAGTTTATGGATCATCAGAGCAGAGAGTAAAACTTATACATCTTGTCATGCATTTTAAGCACAACTTAACCAATGCCCAGACCTTCTCCTACTCTATACTGTCATCTCACCAAGTCAAGTTTGGCTCTGTCAAACACCATTCCCTCTGTAGCACTGAACCTAACATGGTTATAGAAAGAGTTGTTGATGCCTGTTTCAGGCAGATTGCAAGACCCACACAACTCTAGGCCCAAGTAACAAAGCACTGCTGAAGTGAACTAACCATTCTCAGTTGTGCTAGGGCATTGCTTACATCTGTAGCTTCTCTCTGCTTTCTTCAAAATGCTATCTGCCTCCAAGCATTTAGTACAACCTCAGTAAATGTTCCTTCAGAATGAGTTACACATGGCTCTGAATAGGCTCTGGGGGGCACCAGATGTCTTTCAGCCAACAGTACCTAGAAACTCAAGTCCGAGAACCAAGCCCCATATTGTAGCCTGGGTATTTCTATTATTAAACTATAGATCTTCAGCTACAAAAATTATGTCATTTCAGAGGCTTCTATAAGCATATCTTATTAGATATAACCTGAAAAACATGATGCCCCAGAGCCTTAATTATTAAAGTTTTAGTGATGATTCTTTAAGCATAGCTCTTGATATGAATACACTTAATTTACAACCAGCTAATTGAACATACACATAAATTGTGTTAACATGATTGAAAGAATTTTATTGTTAAATGGATAAACTGACCCCAGCTGTGGACTCAATTTAAGGCTCCTCACAGTGGTAAATGAAGAACAGACACTGATATTATACACAGATTAACATAAATTTTGTCAGAGCATTTTGAGATAGTGTGCAAAATTCCTTCCTCACACTTGATTCAAACATTTGAAACTTAAGTATTATTTTCCTGTCACCTTTCTGTTTCCTTCCTTCCTTTGTTCCTTCTTTCTTTCCTTTTTCCTTTCATAAAAGTCATTGTTCCTTCTTTCCTTCCTTCTTCCTTTCATTAAAAAAAGTAACTGATACATTTATAAACAGGAAGAATCACAGCTAATCTTATGTTGTAGAATAGTTTTAGTTTTACAAAGTAATAAATATTCTGTGTATGTGTGTGTTTGTGTGTGTGTGTGTTGAATGTAGATATTACATGATTAAAAGAAGTGACATTTTGGAAGGACTTGGGATGTAGAGAAGTAACGTTTGTGTCTTTATTTATTTATTTTTCTTTTTTATAATTTGGGCTGCACTAGGTCTTCGTTGTGGCACGCGGGCTTCTCTTGTTGAGGCGTGCAGGCTCCAGAGTGCTCGGGCTCAGTAGTTTCAGTACACAGCCTTCTCTCTAGTTGTGGCACGTGGGCTTAGTTACCCCACAGAATGTGAGATCTTAGTTCCCTGACCAGGGATTGAACCCACATCCCCTGCATTGAAAGGTGGATTCTTAACCACTGGACCACCAGGGAAGTTCCTGTGTCTTATTTCTATTGTGTTGTGACCAGACCATAGCTTCAGCCATGTGCCTCATTGCCAATTCCATCCTTATTAAGAAATGATCCTGTTCAATTGTTCAACTCATCAGCTTGGCAGTACCTGACTACTTTAGGAAGCTTGGCAGTATCTGACTACCTTAGGGACACAAATTACTGGACGTTACCTTCAGAGATTTGGATTCGGTAGATCACAGGTGGAGGCCTAGGAATCTGTATTTAGAAAATCACTCTAGGTAATGCTAATATACAGCCAGATTTGGGAATCAATGAAGAATATTCAAATAATCCCAATTACTAGGAATAAATGCAAGTTGACTAAGATAGAAATATATTATTTCATTCATACTTATTTTGAAAAGCTAAATACTCCAGGCTTAATCACGTTATTTCTTTCACAAGTTTTAATTTTAGCTTTGGTTTCAAATTTATAGTCTGCTTTTTGAGCATAAGTCTTCAAGCTTCAAATCAACACTGATAAGCCTGAGGGATGAATATTGCTCACTATAGGGCTATTAGACATACTAGGTACAGTATAACTTTCTTAGTTACTGCCAGAGCTGTGCAGTACATCACAATATTTGTTGATCCTTACCAACAAGATATGAACTATGAACGTTTCGACAGAGAAGCAAATGTCAATGTGACAGCCTTATTCCCAAATTTTTATGTTTGAAACATCACCAACTTCATACTTAGTCTCACCCTGTACTTTTCTCATTGAATTGTACATTCATCTAAAACTTATTTCCTAGCAATATCTTATAACAACATTTCAAGCAATAATCTAAGCCATGATGATGATGCCATATGAAACCTGCACTTCTGTGCACTTCATAGAACCCTTAGGGAAACAGAGACATGTTTTATATAAGCAATAATATAGGTAGTGTGGACTTTTAAAAGATATTCACCATTCTACCACAGTAAAATGAGCAGCAAGTGATAGATAAAAATTATCTGAGCAGATAACATGCTTAATTTCTCTCACAAGTCCTTCATTTGCACACATGCTATGAAGTAATTAATATATTTTGATCAGGTTGTTTCTGATGTATAATTATTGATACCTATCATAATATGATTTCTATTCCTCTCAAAAGATTGTGTATGTATTGTTGCCCAGATTTTCAGATCTTTGTAGTATATAGTAAATAAGAGTATTTAAGGATAGATAAATGAGCAAAAGTATAGTATGGGTTGGATAAGCTGATCGAGAGTAGGCTTGGCAAAAATACAGATGCATCTTGGGACAAGTTAATTAATTCTACTGTTGGTTTGATAAGGTCTGAGATGATGAAAGATTAAAGATAAAAAGAATTATTATCACTGTTCTCTGTGATGGCAAATGTTTAGTAAGTACAGTACTACTTTGGCTCTCAGAATGTGATTGGTTGAAATTCATCTGTAGTATAATTTTAAAATGTCTGAAAATCATTATGTAGTCATATTTAAAATAACCTGTCCTTCTCAGCCATTTTGATGATACCACTAAAGCTTGCAGGTTTTGAAATGAATAATTCATATTTTTACTTTCCTTAAAATATAATTTTAATCAAATGTGGCACAGTCAATAATAATCAGTCCTTTAATAATTAAATTACTCCTCCATCATTTAGAATCATGAATTAGGATTACAGTTAAAACTAACTAGTAAATTTATGATACACTGAGGTACTTCTAATCATCTGATTATTATTTAGCAAAATCATAAAGCTTAGAATCCATTCCTAAGCCTCTAAATAAGATTACAGTTCCTATTATTGCCTAGATGTTTAAACTCTCTTCTAATCTTGAATCTGAACACAATTAGAGTCGTGGGTGGGTTTGCTAGTATTTTACCTTCCTATTACCAACAGCAAAACTTAACATCCTCCTACCCACAATTTATAAAATTCTACAAAAATCAAACAGGGTTGTTGAGTCACTGAGAAAGTGGTTTTTTTCCCACTGAGAAAGCATTTAACAGTCATCTTTATGTATATCATTGGATGCTTAACCCTTAATAAGCATGCTTTTGTTAATAAATAATAAAAAATACTTAATTTGAATCCATTAAATTATAGTGAATCTATTTTCTCAGTTAATTCATCTAGTTGCTGATCAGACCACTCTTAATATTAGACTTAAGTGCTATTGCTTATTATTTGAAAGCAGAAGAGACAAGAAAAACTAAATGGCAAGCCTAAGTAGTAGCTTGTTTCTAATTCTTTTGATACATATTTTTACAAATAAAGGAATTGGTTTATATTTAATCTTCCTCTGTGACCTTTTGGCTAGTTGGAGATAAAGAAGGGATTCTACTAAATGAATTTTTACTGTGGGCTATTAAGTATAATTAAATATAAGTAGGACAGTAATGTATTAGTTGGGGTAAAATCAAAATTGTGCAAAATTTCTTCTTCACACCCCCGCACTCTTTAAAGACAATTCTTCCCATTTTGCTGCCTGGCAGTTACACATCAGACTCAGAACACAGGGACAGATGGAGGGGGTGGGATGAGCAGGAAATTTAGATGAGATTGAGCAAAGAGATTTAACTTTTTTCTTTGTGAAAGTATATGTACTCCTAAAGGGAAGCAGTTTTCATAATAGACACATGTAGTTTAGTGAAAGCCAAATGACTTATTTGCTCATTTTTATTTTAAAAAGAAAAGAAAAAAAATCCCTCATGAGCTATTTTCAGTTTTCTTAGGAGGTAGCAGCAACCTCTCAGCAGGGGCACACATCAGTGAAACGGGGATTAGAAACTCACAAAGCTATATATAGAAACTCTCTGAAGGTGGCAGATAGAACTAGCCTTGGTTACAGCGATGAAGGTAAATGAAAGTGTGAGAACATCTGGGCTTAAGGAACAAAGAAGGCCAAATACCAGCCCCTCTGTATGTCACAGAAAAGCCTGCTAAAATTAGCACAAAAGAACAGACTATAGGTGTTCAAGTGATATTAAAACAAAACTTTTTTTTTCCTTTTATAGCATGCTGGCTGAGCTAACATTCCGTGAGAAGAATACAATTTCATTTTATACATCATTTTTTTGTTCTGACATTATAGAAATTATATCATTCCCTAGTTGGAAAATTTAATCACAAAGAATGAGAAATATTCTGTATACTAACATCTGTAAAATGGCTTTGGGGGGCTATACTCTATTCCATATTCTTCTTCACATTGTTCTCAAACTGGGCCTCAGCTGCAAGCAAAACAAGTGCTCAACTTTAGAGTAGATAAAAGCCTTTATGACTCCAGGCCTATCCATCTTATTCTGGGATGTTCCAAAGAAATGGAACTGGGGAGAGAGTTACCCCACAGCATTTGATGGTATTCTGTGGGAGAGATGAAGATGTACTCCTAGTCTTTTAAAATTAAGTGGTTAAGTAGTCTCTAATCATCATTCAAAGATGTTTTACTTATATGTAGCTAGTTAATTCTAGCAGAGTTTGTTTAGAACAGAAATTTTAAAAGGAATAAACAAACCTGAACAATTTTTAATCAGAGTTATCAGTTAGGAAACTAATTTGGGACGAAGATTTGCTGTCTTGAAAATCAACTTACTTATATCTGAAATTCAGAATACTAAAGACTTTTGAAAATTTTCTAAAGGTATCAGGTGCTTCAGCACTGAAAAGGAATAATAATTTTGTTATAGATTCCTTAAGGTTTTATGTCCTGGAGATAACAAAGAATTATAAATTACATTTCAATTATTTTTTTCTCTATGTTTTCCAGTTGTTGCAGGAAAGATGTAGAAGATGTCATAAATAAGACAAAGTCACAAATTTTGGCATTGAGCCATGGTTTAGAAATTTGGCAACATTCTTTTACTTAAAATAATAAAACTGTTTTTAATAATATAAGGGTTAAGGATAAAAGACAAGTATACTGTATTCACATTTGGCTATGAAATGATCTAAAGCAAGAATCTCAACTTCTCTAAATAAAATCTAAAAACTTACCTTCATATCCTTTGAACAATAAATATAAATATTCCTACATATTTTCTGACTAAAAAGAAGCTATGCCTTTCCATATTTAATGAAACCTCAATTCCTAGAGCAATTCTACTTTTATTGACTCCCAAGAAGCATTCCTTTATGGTCAATATCACGAACTTTCAAGGTTGGCAAGAGAGTATGGCTTTCTTCTGAGACTGGGATGATCTGTATAAACATATTTGTGTATAACCACTTAAAATTCCCCTGCCACTTATAAGCTTTTTTTAAAAAGTTCAATTCTCCATAGTTAAAGTGAAGCAAACTCCATGTTGGAGTGGCCAGATAGTTTATCAACAACAGGAAATCCCCCCTCCAAATTTTATTGGTATAAATTACCAGGTTAAAATCAGAGCCTAACCTTGGCTTGAAGTTTCAGATAAATTGCTTTTCTATTATTTGACTAGAAAGTATTATCAAGAAGAAGAAATTAATTCTTATGTTAGATCTCATTCTAGCCAAGCAGGTCTAGATAAACTAGATAACTTTATAATTATCTACAGTAATTCAGGAATTTTTAGAAAATTCTTTATTTTTGTTCTTGTTGTACAAAGATAATTATTAGTGAATGGTATCCAAAATTATTATTCTTATCTCTTAAATTAGCTTCAAGTATGTTACCAGGCAATTATATAATCCATCTCTCTCATTTGTCATGTAACTCAATGACCTGATATAGTGAGTACTCATTGCTTTTTCTTCTAATCCTTAAAAACACTTTTTTTCCTGTCTAAAGAAAAATTCTCCTACTAAAATGCAA